CCCCCGCGGGTGCATGGAGGTGGTCGCGGTCCCATTCGGGATATTTCAGCCCCCCGGGGATTGCGTCGGGCATCAGGCTTCGCTTTCCTGCAGGTCAAATTTTGGGAGGGTTTTGGTTCGGAAAGGATTGAGTCGTCTGCGGGTGCTCCCCGCTTCACGCAGGGCTTTCAAAATCCAGCGGGATCGGGTCACTCAGCGGGTGGTTGATAAACAGAAATCGAGGAAAAATACAAAATTAAACCCAAGAAATGTTATTTCCATCGCGGCAGGTAAGATCTCTTCTTGCAACGGCAGATGTATTAGGAACACGTTGCACGGCAGGTCTTGGATGCTTGTATTTCTGGGGAGAGCTTCACCATCACACCTCTCTGCCTCCTCTATCTGCAGCTGATGCTCCCCAAAATGGTTAGCATCTAGACCTTTTAAATAAATTCAGCTCCTCTGAGAGCAGGTGGTCGCTGGCACTAGCCCAAGCCGAAGATCTCTGCTCCCTTCCAGGTGGCCGCGGGAGCATCTGAGCTGCACGATTCGGACCAGGGATCATCGTATATGTCTATCCAAGAGCAAAACCAGGGCAGCCATCAAAAGACCATCTGCTCAGAGCCTGATGACCTCTCCTTTTTGAAAAGGATTAAGAAAGAGGAGAAAAAAACCCCAAACCCAAACCAAGGAGGTTTCCATGCCAAACCAGCACATCCTGGGGTGTCCTGGACACCGGAGAGGGCAAAACCCTTCCAGCGTATTTTCTGGAGAATATGTTTCCATTGGCAGCAGGCTGGAACTAATGATCTAAAATGTCTTTTTTTTTTTCATCTTTCCTTTTTATCCATGCAGATCTGGCTGCCGAGGCCCCAGCTCTCTGGCACTGATCACCGTGTCCTGGCAAGCACCGACGCGCTCATCCGTGGGGGACAAGGCTGTACTTCTATCTTGCCCAAAATCACCCTCAGAGGAGGAGGACGAGGTCTTTCCACCCCACGCTGACTGAGTAGCTGCCTCCTTCCATGTCCTCGGCCAATGATCCAGCGGGATTTATCCATGGCGGGATCCCCCCATCCCCTTCAGCTTCCCCATCAGGCGCCGAAAAAGATGTGTACTCACCTGGGTCGGGAGCAATGCACTCGCACTTGTACATGGTCACGTAGTCCGGCTTGAAGTCCGAATTGATGGGGTAGTACTTAAAAGCTCCAATCATCTTCTTGATGGCGTCGTAGATGAAGATGAAGCTGATGAGGGTGGAGAAACCTTCCTCTGTGAAGCGGGTGATGTACTTTATAATGAAGCTGGCATCGGTGGCCACCAGGATAAGGCACTGTACGGCAGAGTGCAAGCCGATCCAGAGGCGAAACTCCATGTAGTCGATGCCGTTGCCTCTGAAAGTGGGGACAACGTGGGAGCAGCCCCACGAGAGCATGTGGTGGGCTGGAGGACAGCTCCCACCCTGGTACGGATGGGTCCCAGTTCCCCCTGGCACCCCCCAGTACCTACTTGCTGAAGTCGAAGAGCAGCTTCTCGAAGATGAGGATGGGGCCGGTGCTGCTGAGGATGATGAGCGGCTGCCCGGCGAAGAGGCAAAACATGGAGCCTGCCATTGCCGTGCCGAGGAAACTCTCCATGACGCCCTGGAGATACATCAAACCCAGAGTTATGGTGATGCTGTGCCACATTACACCCCAACTGACACCCCAGATGGAGATGGGAATTAAGGACCTCTGCTTGGACCCATGTAGGATGGTTGGGACCATGTCCCCTTGGCTCCTGGCATTGCCATTGAGATGGGTTTTCCCATCCTGTACGTACTTCAGGACTGCCGATCCCACTTGGCAATGAATTTGGCATGGCACAAGCGGGGTTAAAACCCATCCCATCCCATCCCATCCCATCCCATCCCATCCCATCCCATCCCATCCCATCCCATCTCTGCTTGCTGTCCCCAAGCCAAAGTGACTCCCCTCCTTGGACTCGACCTGGTAGTTGTCCGTAGCGTCCCCAAGCAAGCCCCCAAACGTGATGGCATTGGTGATGCAGCCCAGGTAGATGAACAAGATGGCAGAGATGGACTGGATATGAAAGCCTTCATAGAAGTCGCTCGGGAACCAGGGCAGCTTCCTCTTGATATCCAAGTAGAGGCCACCGCAAAACCTGGGGAGACACCACCAAGGACAAGATGCATGGGCCTTCCACCGAAATGGATACGGTGCTGTGCAAAAGCCTGTGCCCAAAAGGATTTCACCCCTCTGTGCCCCAGGAGACCACGGGGTGAGACAGCAGGAGATGCTGATGGGTGCTGGCACCCTCCAAAGTTGTTTGGGTGGTGGGGTGCTTGCTCACCTGCCAGTCCACGTGAGCTCTTCCCCGATTTCGTGAACTTCGGGCATCTCCCCATCGTCGCTGCCTCCTCCACCGCCCCCAGCACCTGCCCCACCGGCCGTGCCGTTCATCTGCCCCACTTCGTTCAGCGAGAAAACTGATTTCCTGCAGGAGAGAGTCACCGGCGTCGGCCACGGCTCCTGCCCTACCAAGCCAGTCCTGATGCAGGGACCACGACCAAGGTCATGGTGTAGCTCTCCGCCTGCACCAGAGCTTGGGTTTTGGGGCAAATTTGGAAAGATAGAGCTGGATTTCCTCAACCCAGGGCGGGTAATGCAAATTTTGCAGAGTGGAAATGGCTGTGAGCTGATCTGGGGACAAAAACTGCTGAAAAAGCAGCGTTTCTGGAAAATTTGCAGAGATTATTTCTAGGGATGAAGGCAAGGAAAACTGCTGTCCTCCAGCATCTCCAAAACAGGAGAGATGGGGATGGCCACAGGGCTGGGACCAGCCCCGTGTCTCCCACCTACCTCTTGTCAGCCGAGGGCACTTTTTTGGGTGGCTCAATCCTAATGTTGGGGTCCCACTCGCCAGGCGGCAGGACAATGACTTCATCCAGAAACTCATCTATGCCGGCAATCAGGTCTTCTCTATCCCGGGCTTTGTAGGCAACATCGCTGAAGAGCTGGGGTTCAAGAGAGAAGAGGTGTCAGCCTGGGAATGGCGCCCAGCATGTGCATGTCCCACATCGTTATGGGATTTTAAAGCTCATTTGTTTGGGCGATAGGATGAAAATTGCTTTTTTTCTTGGCTCTGAGCAAGGGGGTTCCTGGAAAGGGCCAGGCATTGCATCTACTCACATCATCCACCATGAGGGTCGCCATGGCTCTGCCAATCTCGTTGTAGGATTTGGCTTTTCCTGCGGGACCAAGGAGAATAAAGAGGAACCTGGGAAGGGAAAGGCGTTGTGTTGGCAACCTCGGACCACTGGCATCCGTATTGTGAGACCACTTGGTGCTTTGGACTCGAAGGAATTGCGCTCACCTGGTGGGGACGGGCACCTCCGTCACCCCTCCCAGCATCGTTGCCTGGAGGAGCCGCACGAAAGCCACAAAGGGCTTCTCCAGGAACTCCACTTCTCCCACCAGCACGTTGGAGGCCTCCGCATCCTTGGGGATCTTCTTGATGAACTTGTTCTTCAGCTGTTGGAAAGACAAGGGTGGGGAAGGGAGTGGTTGCCGAAATTAGGCTTTTCCCCCCTCTTTGTTCCACACCCCAAACGCAAAAGCTGAAGCCGCAAGCTCAAACCTCTTCATCTCTGATGGTCCCAGGACTCCCAGAGGTGGGGATTCAAGAGCCACATCCAAGAATAAACCAGCAAGAATTCATAAGGCTGAATTTCTTTGTTACTCAAAACCATCACTAAGCCCGAGATTAACTCGAAACCACATGCTCTGGGCTCCCTAACACAACGTGCTACTGGGTGGTTTGCAAAAGGTGCTTTGCGGCACTGGGTCTACGCAAGGAAAGCCCCGTGCAATCCTCCTGCAGAAAATCCGAGCCAAAAAATACGGATCCTGGAGCAAGCCAGCCATGCATTTTTGCAAGTCTACTTGCAGCCCTGCGGCCCCGGCCTCCCCGAGACCCTACCAAATGCAGCAACACCGCTCGGTGCCGTGCACAGGGGATGTTTTTGTAGCTCATTTTCCCCCAATCTCATCCTTGGAGCAGGAAACAAATAATGGAAGTAGGAAACCTCGTTCATGGATTTATTCCCCGGGTCTCTTCTCCCCTGCAGCTCTTTCATTATTAGTCTAAAAGGGTTCAATACCGACCCGGGCAGGGTGTTATTATAATCTATATGCCAGCATGAGGGGAGGCATGTGAGCCGGGCAGCAAGCTCTCCCCTTTCTAATCTTTTAAACCCAAATGGAAAAAAATAATAGTAATAAAGCAACTTCTCCAATGCTGCTTGGAATAAGCAAGAGCAGGAGTTAACAGTGACCACTAAGCTTCATGTAACACTTAAAAAGTCCCTTTGTAGTGGGCCTAATAGGGCGATTAAACCTAAATGCTTTGCATATTTTGGGATTAACCCTCCGCACCCCACTGCTGGAGGCTGATATTTGGGGTTCGTTAGTGCGCAGTTGGCTTGCTTTATTGCAGCTCTAATTTAGGAAGGTGCCCTGAAAACCTTCTGCCTCCCCGATATCGTGGCATCCCTGTCCCGCGGCTCCCAGCAACACATGAATTTCCATCCTTTGCTTCCCCCTAAAATGCATCACCCCAGGTAAGCCCAGCAAGGACATCCCTGGGGAAAAGCAAGCTGTTATACCATACTGTCCCCTACAAACCCGCCTTGTGTTTGGATTTCCCTTAGTTTTAAGCTGAAATCACACACAAACAGAAACAAAGCAAAGCCCATATAATGGATCAACAGTTCCCAGCTAAACAGCCTCGATGCCAGGGTGGGGACGGGACATCCAGCAAAAGAATGGCACAAATCCCGCCGATCCGTCGCATCGCCAAGCAGAGATCTGCCCACGAACTGCCCAGGCAGCCTGACCTCCTTCCCAGCTCTCCCACGCAAAGCAAACCAGGGGGGAAAAGCCCCCGGAGGGCTCTCTCGGCTGAGCTTTGCATTAAGAAACCCACGTCCATCACGGTGCGAAGGGAGGGGAAAACGGAACCTGCCTCTGTATTTACAGACGCTTATCTCGGAGCTGTATTCGTGTCCGCAGACCCAAGCGCTCGGTTGGGATTTACCCCCTGCCACCTGCCCTTACCCAGCCAAGCAAAGGCTCTTCTAGGATCCCTGCACTCTTCCAAGCATCTTTCCATTCCTACCTAAAGATTTTAAGGAATTTTTTTCTCCGCCCTAAGGATCTCAAGCTACATCAGCATCCTCACATGTCCCTAATTCCGTGTTCGACTTGCAAGCACAGGTATTATTTCTGGGACAGCTTCCCCACGAGTCAGCAGGGATCGATACGTGTATTAATTTCCCTAATTAGCAATTTGTGTGGTTATCGAGCGAGCAAAGCAGCACAGGGCTCACATGGAGCTTAGCAACCACAGAGCCCCTGCCCCATCGTGCATCATGTCGGAGATGCTCCACACAGCATCGCATTAACGTTTTTGGGGATGATTACCTGGTCAGTGCTCGGTGTGTCTGAGATGTCGTTCATGCTTCGACTCTGCGCGTGACCTGATGGAGATAAGAGAAAAGGTGAGAAAACTGCCCCGTGATGCGCAGCCCAATTTCAGCCCCACGTGCAAGGAGAAAACACGGTGGGAGGACTTCAGCGCAAAGGAAAAAACACATTCTTTATTATAGCCGGGCTTGCAAATCAGATGAAAACCCAAGAACATGAGTTTTTCTGATATCAGTCACCCTGTGGTTGCACAAACCACATCTCATTTACGGCTGTGGTGGAATCCCCTTGTAATTGCAATCACCCACTCTCATATTACGACTTGATTTCCCCCCCACACACTTCTTTTAGGAGCGTTTCCGCCTCCCCGCCGCCCTCCCTGGCTTACGTAGGCGGCCGTAGCTCGCGCTCTGCCGCATCCGCAGGTCCTCGGTGGAGCGGTGGAAGGCAGCGCCGGCGGCCGGGCTCCGGACGGGGCTGCGGGCTGGGGGAAAGGAGCTGTTAGAGGAGATGTGGGTGCCATGGGGAACCGTTGCGTGATGCTGAAGGCAAGAGGCCAGGCTGAAAAATCACCTGCCCGGCACAGACATGACCCTTCCAGTGCTGATACACCAGCAATTTGCTTTTCCCTCCCACTCTCATTTGCACTTTTATCCCACCCACAGTAATTTTCCCACTAGCAAAGAATAAACTGCCTTAACCCAAGTCTCCCCGCTGCAGAGGCTCCGTGCAAGGAGCTGCAAGCCTGCACCACCCCACCAGTGCTCTCTTCAAGGCTATAAATGGGTTCAGAAGTGCAATTTCTGTTATGTAGGAAGACCCCAACACTTTATTTGGCTTTTTCATCTCCTAATTCTCCAAAGAAACCTACACTTGAAATTTGCCATGAACTCCACACTTCAAAATATTTACATCGGCCACCACCAAGTTTCAGGTGAACGTTTCTCCTCCCTAAACTGGTGACGAGCCCCATTCTTCATCTCAGATGTTTAAACTGAATTACTTAGCTATAAAGACTTGCCTTTTCCCCCACGCATTTTCTATGTTAAGCCCAGCATTTTCTCAGAAAACCTCCTGAATTCCCAAAACTGTGTTTCCTTGGGAAAACAAACTGGACCAGTTTTCCTGAGCTGCTCTTCATCTCTCTGAAACACCAGCTGCAACCACAGCATCTATCCTCGGGGTTTTTTTTAAGTCCACTAAAAACAACGATGAAATTCCCATTGGGCATGACCCTATTTTCAATGTGCCGGCGGTATTTACTCCAACTCCACAGAGCTGCAGTTGGCACAAGAAATGCGAGGGACCCCTCTGCTCCTGCCAACGACCATCTTTTCCTTGGTGTCCCTGTTTGCAAACTCAAAGCCATGCCATCATCTCAGCAAGGAACTAGAAACACAAAAGACACCCTTATTTTTCCTATCTACAGGGACTAACCACAACATTTAATTAATGGTTGGACTGGATGATCTTAAAGGTCTTCTCCAACCTAAACGATTCTATGGTTCTATTCTATGATTCTATTTCCAAGTCACGCTCCATTTTGAAGGCTTCTGGGCAAATGTTAGCTCGTATATCTAGTTCTCTGACGTGGATGATGGCCGCTTTGAAACCTGGAGATGTCCGGGGGGGCGGAATATTGCTTATTGACAGCCTCTTCCATGTGCAGTTTGAGCTTGAGCGCTGCTGTTTCTGTCTACCCAGGGAGCCGCCGAAGCCTGGCAAATCCCAGGCTCCACCAAATGACCTCTGTTTAAACCTAAGTAAATAATCTAGCGTGAAAACAAACAAATCCCCTTTTATAATGGCTCAAAAATAGGAAGGTTCAACCGCGGAGCAGACTGGATTTGTCTGTAGACTGCTCTGCCAGAAAGCTCCTTGGCCAAGCGACCGCCAACCCCGTTGGCCATCACACAACCCCGTTGGCCATCACACAACCCCGTTGGCCATCTCAGCAGACATCTCCTTGGCTTCTGGCTCCTGATGACACCTCACCCTTAAAGCCACCAGTGGCAGAGCTTTTGGGGTCTTTCTCAATGCAGTAAATAGTTGGGTACCCCAAACAGTTGGGTTTCCCCCTTTCCTTCTCCTCAGATCTTCCCCGCCCCAGGCTTGCTCACCAAAGACTCAAGGATGCAACCAGGCGCAGGTTGGACCCCGAGGACTCACTTGTGTTGGAGGAGACGGACTTTCCGATGTCGGCCAAGGACCGGTGGATTGGCTTCTTGGTTTGGTGACGGTGCTTCCTCAGGAGCACGTAGCTTATCTTCTCCCGCAGCTCTGGCTTGAGCAGACCATCCTCGATCTGCTTCTCAATGACATCGTCTGCAAACACCAAACGAGGGAGACGCATGGGTTACCCCACTGCAAACCCTCCCAGAAAGCTCAAGACAACAACCCTTATTGAACCAAGTTGATGGCTCTCAACTCTTGTCTTTGCTTGTTCCCATGCAAGCTGGTTTATATTTGCACGTAGCAAGTAAATGCATTTAACTCTGTTGCCAGAACTTTAGGACATGGGGAAAAATCCATCCAAAAGCACTGGTACCCTCCGGCTCCTACCTATAATTTGGGGCAAAGAGTAGCCATCTAAGTCCAGGAGCACCGTTCCCGTCTGTAGACACGTCCGTAGCTCAAACAGGCTGTGCAAAGACAGCGTGGACACGTGGGGCTTGCTCCACCTCTCCCCGCCTTCCTCCACCTTTTCTTCAAACTTTATCCACCTGAAACGACAGCGGCAGCCGTGAGGACAGGCACGGAGCGGGGATAGTGTATCAGAAGAGAATTAGGGAATTGCTTTTCCTGTGGCGTTTCCCTTCTGCAGGAGGCTTTGCAAGCCTGGATTAATTCATCCTGCAAAGTTTTGGCTTGTTATTCAGGATGGGAATGGAGAAATCAAGTAACATCATTAGACAAAGTGCTGCTTGCACGGTTGCAGAGCGGAGCAAAATCTCTCAGCTCCCCCACTGAACTCAACCCTGCAGATTTCACCCTCCTCAAATTGCTCCTGCAAGATTTGGGAGGTTCTCCCACGGAGCTGACCTTGCCTCAGCCAGGATCCGCACCCGCACGGACCAGCTGCGCACGCATGAAAGCAAAAACCCAGGGCATTGCTTTTGATTCCTTCGCAACGCTGAGACTTCAACCTTGGGCGCTTCGTTCCCACAGTGGGAGACGAGAGGGTTTGCAAGCCCTTGGAAAGCAGCCCTTCCACCTCCCTTCTTTAATTTTACAAACTGAAGACTCCAGAGCAAATTCGGGAATGGTGGCTCATTTCTCCCAGCTCCCTGGGAATGGGGCTCGAACTCCAGGGAGGGCAGGCAGCTCTCGGCAAGACATCGATTTGGGGAAGAAAGCTGCTTTTCCTTTACAGGAGGTTTGCAGCCTCCGTGGATTAGCCTTCGCAGGGCTTAACCTTACAACTTTTAACTGGTACAACTGGGATTTGGGCTCCTGCCGCCACAGATGGAAGGGATGTAGGAGGAGAAGGGTTTTGGAAATAGCTGATGGCTCCTGAATGCATCAGGGGAAGGGTGGGGAGAGCCCAGGATTGTATCAGCTGCAGGGGGGTGCGTTAAAATGCTGCTGCAAAGAGAAAATGCTGGGTGTCCCTATTAAAAAAGCACCAAAATATTATCTGGGAGTGCCAGGAATGGTCTGTGCTGGGGACAAAACCCCAGAGCATGCAAAAATATAAAATTTGGCCCTAGTGTCCCTCACTCCAAAGCTCCCCACCCTGATTTCTTTGCAGAAGCCCCTTCTCCAGCCCTTCAAACAACGCTGCTTTTATTGGAGGAAATTCAAGCTTCCCGCCGTAGCGCCCACTAAGCCCCGTCAGTGCTCGCCCAAAGCCGATTAGGTTGCTTTTCGTTTCTTTTTTGCCCCGTTTTCCTGCCGAAAGTGGGTTAGCGCACAGACGGAGCGGCAGCTTGGGGCGGCGTGTGGGACTCGAGGCACGTTTCCAGCGGCGCCTTTGCCCCGGGACCGGCATCCCGTGACGCTTTTGCCAAGGCTACAGCAAAACCCCATCTCCCTGCTGCACTCAGCTGCTTTATTTCCATTTATTTCCATTTATTGCGGATTTAGCCGCAGGTAGCGCTGCTCCCACCACAGAGCGGCTCTCCTGCAGCTAAAGAGGCTGAAC